CAATTCACACAGAGGCACCCTGCCTAGGAATTCTTATCCTCCATACCCATGCAAAGAAAGCCATGGATGCTACCATATACAACCCATCTCCCCCAGCCCAGGAAAAAATGTGCTCAAACTGAAAGGCCTTATGAATCTTTAAAATAATGCCTCTGACTTGTGCGGAAACCTAGAAGAGACAACCCCCATGCAGGACTTCCAGAAGGCTCTACCCTGAGGCTTCCAAGAAGTAATAAGAAATGATGTTGCTTAGGACTGGACAGCAGGAATCTAGGTTTTGACTTCTCACTGTAATTAACCCTGTGACCTTAGATGTAAAAATCAATTCTAGCAGTCAGCTCTCTTCTGCGTACGTTGGACATTCATAGAATTTTTCAAATCTAACATAATCCTTTTCAAGAAGATTATCTAGGAGAGATTTCCCAAACACCTGACATCCCTGATCATCATAGACAGGCAGTACAGGTAGTACACAGATGCTCCTGATAATAAAGGTCAGCCATTTGACCCTTCCCTGAGTGTCCCTAAGTGAATGAGCTTTGTGAGGTCCCATTTTCCATTCCTCCCATGATAACCTGCTACGAGAGCTGTTACACCCTTCATGAAAGACATAATTTCAATGCTGCTGTCTTCTTGTCAAATTTCTTTCCCTGAACCATTCATCCTCATAAACAAGGAAGGCAGTCCAAGTAGACTAAATTTTTGTCACAATGGAAGTGCACAAGCTGTGGCCCCATGAAAGATTTGACACTGGGTTATAATCAAATTTTGTTTTGGGGGTGGTTCCAAAGCCTTTCAGCTTCTTCTGTATTATTAGCTGGGCATCTTTTGCCATAATCTCTCAAAGCCTATGATTTTTGAGGGCTAATGTATTAGTTTCCTACTGTTACTGCAGCAAGTGGACCATGAGTTTGGTGACTTAAAATTGAACATTTATAATCTCAGAGTTCTGCAGCTCAGACATTCAAAATGGGCTTCCTTCCTTTGGGAGTCTATAGGGGACAATGTATTTTTTTTCCAACTTCTAAAATCTGTTCACATTATACGTCGTCAATCTCTTTCCTCTGTGGCCCCCATATACTCCTTGATCAGAAAATTTGGGACACCACTAAGTTATAGAATGTCACAGTACAGGCTTTCTTATGTCCTGAGTCCTCACTGACCTTGAAGTGCTAAGACCAATATATTGGCTATCCTTATACCCCCTAGAGTCATCTAGAGAGAAAAAATTCTCACAGGCTTTTACAGAGAGCAACTTGGTCAAGAAATGGCTGTGACTCATCCAGATGGCTGACACTGACAAAAGATCTACAAGTTACTGCACATGGTTCCAGGGTAAATCCTGAGGGGATTTGACTGACCATGTCAGATACAAAAGTTATAGTTTTAGTTATATAGGTTCTACTTTAACTTGGTCTTAACCATCCACAGAAAAGTATAACCATGAGGTATAAAAAGTAATGCCATATTAATATGCTGAGCTCTAAAAGGCTCAAGTCAACAACTTCTAACAATTGCCAGTTCTGCTGATAACCCGTTACTATTATGGAATATTGGACTATATTTGTTTTTTTTTTTTGCTGAATTCAAGTACCTACCATATTTGAACTGGCATCAAGTATGAAAAGGTCCTTTAAAGACTTCTCCAAATACAGCTTCTCTAGCCAGAGTGGACAACCATCTCTGACAAAAAAAAAAAAAAAGGGGGAACAGAGTATAGAACAAATAGAAAAGACTATTTTTGTAAGATGGCAGATTATTATATCATTACTTATGTTAAATATAAATGATCTAAACACACCAAGTGAAAGTATCAAATTAGGTAGATCAAAATAGCAAATCCTAGCCAGGTGTTGTGGTGCTTGCTTGTAGTCCCAGCACTGGGGAGGC